TGGGCAGGGCAGGACAGAATTCCCCCTTTCCCTTCTGCCCACACTGCTGGATCAGCCCAGGGCAAGGTGCATTTCTGGGAATCACAGCTTTTCAAGCAGAGGTGCCTCTGGGCAATGCTTTCCTCACGCAGGAGTCCCCCAGAACCCTGGATTTCCAGTGTGCACCTGCCAATTACAATTCCTGTATGTTATGATGCAGGAAAAGATTTTAGAACCTTCCTGCAAACCAACTGCCCACCTCAGCTCCAGGGCAGCCTGGAGCTGTTCACTTCCCTCTAAGCAGGGACCCCAGAGTGCTGAGGGTCAGTCTAACCCTTAAGCAAATCTTAACAGCCCTGAACAGGAAACCAGCCCACCCAAAGCAACCAGTGTAGACTTTGTGGCTCTGAGCAGCGTGCTGGATGTTTGTGGAGGTGTGACAGGCTGGTTTGTGCTGTGCTGTCAGAGCTGTCACCCCCGGGTGCTGCAGCACCTCCTCCGCAGCCTCCCCGCGGGCACCGCGTGGGCGCCGCCGCCTCCTGCTCCTCATCCAACAGCAAACAGGCACAGGCTCCGTGCTGCTCAGCCTCCAAGGATCAAACAGGCTGGGATCTGGGTCTGAAGTACTTCTCATAGCTCTTTTATAATTGTTTCATATAAAATCCCTTCAGTGAGAGGAAGCAGTGACACGCTGCGTTAAGCGAGGCAAAGGAAAAGCGATGCGGAGCCACGGCTCTTACACCAGGTGCCAGCCGACTGCAGGCACAGGGAAATGGATTTCTGCTGGAATTAATGGCCTTCCACAAACAGCTTTACCCACAGCAAATTAGTTCAGGAAAAAATACGTGCCAATCACTGAAAGGCCACCCAGTTCCCCGCCACGCTTGCACAAATAAAAGAAAATAAAACATCATTATATGTGTAAGAAATCTATTTTGAACAGAGCAGCTCATTTATTTTTCCATATGTTCTCCCAGATTTCATTACTACCTGCTGCAGAATAATTTTCATAGGTTCATAAAGAGTTATATTTTCCTCTCCAGGTCCTTGCCTCGCATTATACAAATAATGAAGAATCATTAGGCTGGGAGATGAGCTCGTTGGTGGCTGTGCAGCCCCAGCAGTGCCCTGCACAAATCTGCCATGTTCAGAGGTACCAGACATCAGCACACAATTCTAGTTAGGGGCATGCTGGAGGGCTGAAGAATTCCACTCATTCCAGCTGGACTGGCCACAGGGATAAAGAGCAGCCAGTGGGATGCTGAGATCCCCAGGGACAGAGCTGGGATAAGAGGGCATCACTCAGAGCTCAGGAACAAAATGATTCAAAAAACTTAAAGCAAAACCTCCATGGAAAACTCCCTAGGGACAAAAATCCTGCAGCCCCCTGCAGAAACCAAGAGTAAATCAGCATTAGGTAACTGTAAAGCCCTTTACAAGCTGTTGTACAGCTGCAGGACACATGTACACCTCTGCACAGGCTTCATTCTCCCATGTCCAAACCATGCTGGAGTACAACAATAAATCCCCCAAGTCCTTGTAACAGAGCAGTGAGGAGCAGGGAAGGGTGAACTGCTGCCTGTGCTGCATTTCTGAACCAGCAGCAGCAGAATGGAAATCCCTTTATTGCAGTTCAGGGATGTAACTCACAGCAGGAACAGAATTTGTGTGTGCCCAGGATCCCTGGGCCTGAGGGCTCACCCTCAGCAGTGCAAGGCCAAAGAACACTTCCACACAGAGAACCTTCAGGGAGGCTCTCATGATGCTGCTTCTACAAGGTGGGAGGAAACACTTGCTGTTGTCTTCCCAAAAAATCCTAAGAGTATTCTCCATAACACTGATTTTCTGGGGCCAGATTTATCTACACAAATTATTGTTCCCAGAGAGGCTGAGGCTGTGGCTGCCCCTGGATCCCTGAAGTGTCCAGGGCCAGGTTGGACAGGGCATGGAACAACCTGGAATAGTGAAAGGTGTCCCTGCCCATGGCACAGGGTGGAATCAGATGAGCTTTAAGTTCCCTTCCAAGCCCATCTGCCTTTCTGTGACTCTATGAAATACGTGAATAGGCTGAAAAAATTGGAAACAGAAATAAAAACTGCAGGGTTTGGTGTGAGATTTCTTTAGAAATCTGATCATAGAATGGAAGCAACGCTCCTGCCAGTCCAATCCCCACAGAGCATTCCTGAGCTTGTCTCCAGATCAGCCTGCTGGGCTTTGCAGCCTGGGCTGCTGCACAGGGCCAATGCATCTCCTGCTGCCAGGCTGTGTTTCTGCTCTCTGTCCCAGTGATCTGTAACTGAGACAAGTGATTGGACTTATTCTAAAAAATCCAGATTACTTCTTTTTCCCATGAAGTAAAGCAA